ATAAACTCAACTTCATACCAAAGTAACACAGGCAATTCTAAACTAGCATGTTTCACGTAATTCAAATAAGGCAGTTAAAGCAAATAAAGCAATTAAGTCAATTATACATGCTTTTCTAAGCTAACAGCAGGTTTAAAAGTGCAAGTAGAATAAATAGGAAGGGAAAACACAATTAAAGTTACTTAATGAAAATAGGGTTTTCAACAATTAGCACAAGTACGCACTTGTCATCTCATGTACAAGGCATTTCAATTATCACAATACCAATCCTAAGGGGAAAGTCCCTCACACAAGGTTAGGCAAGCCACTTACCTCGAACCAGCTCAAATTAATCTGAAACCACGCTATTGCCACGAGTAATCGACTCCAAATGGCCCAAATATATTCAATTCAATTTCATAATGTAAATAACACTTCAAATAACTGATTCTACAAAGAAATTCTAAGCTAATGCGCGAAATTAGGTAAAATAACCAAAACGCCCCTCGGGCCCATGTCTCAGAATTGGGTAAAATTTATATTTTCAGAATCCTCATACTCTCACGAGTTCATGCATACCAAAATTATCCAAATCCAAGGTAAAATTCCCAATCAAAATTCGAATTCTAGGTCTAAGAACTTTCTTCCAATTTTTCCCCAATTTTCATCTCAAATTCAAAATTAAATGACAAAAGTAATAATAGATTAATGGAATACAACTAGAAAGGGTTAAGGAATTGTTACCCACTGATTTCCTCTTCAAATTCCTCCCAAAATCGTCCTCCCCCGAGCTACAAATCAATTTTTCCAACTTTTGAAACCAAACCCTCGAAGTTCCTATTTTCTACCCAGCAATTCCGCTTCTGCGGTCAAGGGACCGCACCGGCGGTCCCGCTTCTGTGGAAGAATGACCGCACCTGCAAAAACTCATTATTCCCCAAGTCCGCACCTACGACCTGTTCACCGCATCTGCGGTCACGCAGGTGCGTGAATTCATCCACACCTGCGGCTCTTTGCCTTTCCTCATATGGCCGCTTTTGTGGCTAAATTCCGCATCTGCGGGAGTCGCATCTGTGTCCTCCCAACCGCAGATGCGGTTATGATAGCAGCCCATAGAACTTCAGCTGCAAACTCCAAGTTCTAACTCCCCGTTAACCATACAAAATCATCCTGAGGCTCCCGGGACCTCAACCAAAAGCACGGACAAGTCATATACCACTATCCAAACTTATACAAATCTCCAAAATACCTCAAACAACATCGAATCAACGAATTAGCATCGAATTCAAGCCTAAGAACTTCAAAAACTCTCAAAATACGCTTTCGATCAAAAAGTTTATCAACCTCGTCTGAATGACCTGAAATTTTGCAAACACGTCACATTCAACAATACGGAGCTACTCCGACTTCCGGAATTTCATTCCGACCCTCGGATCAAAATCACACTATCGAACCGGAAACTTCAAAAATTCATCTTTGGGCATTTCAAGCCTAAATTAGCTACGTACCTCCAAAACACAATCCGAACACGGTCCTAAATCCTAAATCACCCAACGGAGCTAATGGAACCATCAGAATTCCATTCCGAGGCCGTCTTCACACTGTTCCGACTACGGTCAAATTTCCAAAACTTAAGCTTTCATTTAAGGACTAAATGTCCCAAAACTCTCCGAAACTCCACATAATTTCTCCCGACAACTCACAATAGCAGGAACAAACACGGGGAGAGAAGTTAATAGGGATCGGGGCGTAAATTCTTAAAATAATCGGCCAGGTCGTTACAATCTCTCCTCTTCACATGCTCAAACCATCGCAGCCTCAATTCTCGCAACTTGGCTTCCACGGATGCCACTCCCGCCTTGTCCCTAATAACTTCATTTCTGATGTTGTCTTTCCTGGTATGTCCACACATCCATCTCAACATCCTCATTTCTGCTACGCTCATCTTTTGTACATAGGACTTCTTGGCGTGCCAACACTCAGCTCCATACAATATAGCCGGTCTAACCACCACCCTGTAAAAATTTTCCTTAAGTCTAGGCGACACATTCTTATCACATAAAACCCCCGAAGCTAGCCTCCATCTCATCCAATATGCTCCAATGCGGTGAGTAACATCCTCGTCAATTTTATTGTTACCTTTGGATTATAGACCCATGATACTTGAAACTATCTCTTGTAGGAATGACTTGAGTATCAATCTTTACTTCTACTTCTTCTTCATGCCTCTCATCACTAAACTTGCACTCCAAGTATTCAGTTTTTTACCTACTCAACTTGAAACCTTTGGATTCCAGCGTCTGTCTCCAAAATTCCAACCTAGCGTTAACACCTCCTCGCGTCTCGTCAATTAGTACTATTTCATCAGCAAATAACATACACCATGCCACTTCCCTTGTATGTGTCGTACATCCAACGCTAGGGAAAACAAAAACGGGCCAAGGGTTAATCCCTGATGCAACCCTATCTCCATAGGGAAATGTTCCAAGTCTCCTCCCGCAGTCCTTACTCGAGTCTTAGCGCCTTCGTACATGTCCTTAATCACCCTAATGTACGTTATCGGGACTCCGCTAACCTCCAAATATCTCCATAGCACCTCCCTCAGGGCTTTGTCATAAGCTTTCTCAAGGTCAATGAACACCATGTGCAAGTCCTTTTTCCTTTCCCTATACTGCTCCACCAATCGTCTCACAAGGTGAATGGCTTTTATAATTGACCGTCTTGGCATAAATCCGAACTGGTTCTCAGAGATAGATACGTCTGTCCTCACTCTCTTCTCCACCACCCTCTCCCATACCTTCATAGTGTGACTCAGTAGCTTGATACCCCTATAGTTGTTGCAGTTCTAGATATCACATTATTTTTGTGCAACGGAATCATCAAACTCCACTTCCAATCTTCGGGCATCTTCTTCGTCTTGAAAATGACATTAAACAAGCTAGTAAGCCACTCCAAGCCTATCCTACCCGCTTCTTTCCAAAATTCCACCGGGGTCTCGTCAGGCCTAGTCACCTTACCCCTGCTCATCTTCCATATTGCCACATCAACCTCCTCACACTTAATATGCCTACAAAACCCAAAATCTCTCCGACTCTCTGAGTTCTCCAACTCACCCAGCACGATGTTCCTATCCTCTTCCTTGTTCAAGAGCCTATCGAAGTACTCCTGCCATTTACGCCTGATACACGCCTCTTCCACCAATACCTTATCGTCTTTGTCTTTGATGCACCTCAATTGATCCAGGTCCCGAACCTTCCTCTCCCTAATCTTGGCTAACTTGTACAACTTCCTATCCCCTCTTTTGCCCCCAAGATTCTCATACAATCTTTCAAAAGCCGCAGTCTTAGCCGCTGTGGCCGCGAGCTTCGCCTCTCTCCTTGCCTTCTTATAACACTCCCTATACGACCTTCGCTCTTCCTTGTTCGTGCTCCCCACTAGCTTCGGATATGCCGCTTTCTTAGCTTCCAGTTTTCCTTGGACCACCTCATTCCACCACCAGTCCCCTTTGTGGCCACCCGAGTAACCCTTCGAGACCCCTAACACCTCCCTAGCTTCTTCCTTAATGCAGTCCGCTGCCATGGTCCACATACTACTCGCGTCCCCACTGCTCCTCCAGGCCCCCCATAGCCAACAGCTTCTCCCCCAACTCCTGAGCTTTTCCCTTAGTCAAGGCTCCCCACTCAATCTTAGGTTGTCCGTACATCGCTCTCTTCTTCCGTCCAAGTCCATTACCAATAGCCTATGCTGCATCAACAGACACTCACTCACAATATTTTCTTTTAGTGATGTAGAAAAAATATTTTCTTTCATTTCAGTAAAATAAGTAGTTTCTTTTCATAATGTAGAAAAAGTATTTTCTTTTTCACAAAATGAGTACTTTCTTTTCCGGTTGTAGAAAAAGTATTTTTTTATTTCAACAAAAAGAATATTTTCTTTCATGTTATAGAAAAATTATTTTCTTTCATTTCAATAAATGAGTACTTTTTTTTATTATGATAATTAAAAAATAGCTCAGTAATCGTCCTCTATTTTATTGATATTAATTTTATTTGTTATTTTTCTGTTATGATAATGTGTTTCTTCTTTATTTTTAATTTTTTTTTCATGTGTGATGATTATTTTTGTCAACAGCTAGTTTTGTAATGTTGAAAAAGAGTTGGAAAATATTTTCCCCTCTCTTGATATAGAAAATATTTTTGGAAAAATATTATCCTCCAAATGGAGAAAACGAATTCATAAAGAAAATATTTTTCAAATATTTAAACCAACCAAACAAGGGAAGGTAGAACTCTAAATTAAACATTTTAATGGGTTAAGGTTGGGCATCATCATGGGTCCATTTGGGCTGATGATTTTTGATGGTTTAACTTAGGCTAGCCCAAAACAACCCATTTTCAAAATCATTCTAGCCCAAACCAATTAAAACTTGAGCGGATTGGGCGGATCAAATGGGTTTGAGCTTGTTTTGCCACCCCTAAATTTGACTTCATTTACATAACATTAAAGATGGGAGGCGTGCAGGCAAAGAAAGCTCATTTAGCAGAGTGAGGTGCAAGCACCTACAGTCGAATGAGAAGATTTTGATTCATCTCATTAGAAGCAGAAAAAGATTAAGCCATCATCAGGTATATAAAATACAGAGTACAGAATTCCATGGCTTCCTAAGCACATCAGGCCTAGCTAGAATCAAATAGCGATATTCTCTATAGTACTGTTTCTTTTGTGAAGGTTGAATTGCAACACTTAGGCCAAGCCATTAAAATATGAAAAGTAGTTGGTCCTAATAGTGAGTTTCTGAGCTTCCAAAATTCAAGGAGTTTGTTTGTATGCCTCACTGATATAGCAATAATATTTTGATATTGCCAATATGAATCCAAGATATCAAAGAAAGCCTCGAGTGCCACAGTTTGTCATGTGCTGTTATGATGTCCAGCATCTTAACTAATCCAAAAGATTCTTTTAAAATAAACACACTATGTACCTCTTCGCTTCGTGATAATAATGGAAAAGACAAACTAAAGTTGAATAAAAGAAAAAATATAAAATCACAGAAACTCTTGGGCATCGGCAAGATATTAAAATTTCCAATGTACCAAGAGCTTTAAAAGCTGTATCATACCAATTTACCCCACCATGCTCACCACTGTAAGTAATCCAGCAAAACTGAAAGAATGCAGCATCTTGCTTGTGCCAAGCACCAATTACAGCAGTCCAACTACGCCTGTTTCTAATGTCAAAACTAACTTTACAGATAAAGAAGATTGGAGCCAAAAAGGGAAGAAAATGTATGAAAATCCCCTAAAAATCACATTGCTTTAGGAAGCCCTAAACCTACCAAAGAAGGATATATAGGAAAGAAACTCGAAAAATTGACTGAAAAGAAAAGAGTTAATACTGAAAACTATCGAAGGGCTACCAAAATGTAATGGAAAATCGATTTGCTTATGCCTGCCTGCCTCAAACAAAACTAAAAGACTGTCACTATTCGTTACAGGAGGATATACTCTTTGCATCCTCAATCCCAAGCAAGAAAAGTGATACCTCATCGTTTTTTTTCCCCCAGGAGGGGCATCTCTCATAGATTTACAGTCAACCTGCACAGTGATTGTCTTTTTGGCATTTGCTGGATGCTTCCTCCATCTCCAAACTAATCGTAGCCCCAAAATTCCAATCAATAATTTCATTTCTTTTCTTTGTGGTTTACAAATGACAGGAACAGCTCCTTAGTAGCTACTCGGCCAGTTAATTTGTGAATGTTGAGGCTGCTGATAGACAGTGGCTGTTGGTCCTACCATATCCGGACCAGCCATCATCTGTGACTGTTGCATAAGTGAATGAACAGTCTGTGCAGTTACCGGTTGTGCTGGATGATAAAGACCAGCAAGGTTTCCGTGGCCAGGTTGTGCGGGAGTAAAAGCCACTTGACCCTGGGGTAGGTTATAAAAAGAACTTGCTTGCAAGCTGGATAAATCTCGGCCTGGAGTAATCCACACACCTGAGCCCTCACTCTGCAAAAACAAAATTGTTCATTTCTGTAAAACACATTAATAAATAAAGTAAAAACATAAGAGAGATGATAAACACAGCCAAGAGAGAAAAGATCAGAATCAATGGGCTCAGGCCCTACATAACGATGCTATTTCAGAACAATCAACTTTAAACTTGGAAACCTTTATAAGAATTAAGAGGTGGACATAGAATCAAGGTTACACGTTAATATCTCAAACGACAAAAGTTTGATACTCGTCTTTGTCACTACTCCAAAACTCAAAGCAACCAGCATACAAAATTATTTACCACATAAGTCAGAAGGATACATCATAGCAAAAGCTCATTCATAAATTTGATTTAGAAATGAAAGCAAATATCTCAGTTTCAAAGGAGAAGCCTTTCCAGACAGACTGGAGAAACATGCCAGTTCAATTTCTCAATGTACACGTCCCCACAATCAGCAGGTTGATTCACTCAAGAGCAAAGGTGCGACTGAAAAAAAAATATTACTCGACACCCACACAAGAACAAAGGGATCGTGGAAACTTCCTCAAAAGGACCGCCATGTAACACATCTATTTTGCAACAGCCTTGAAGAAAGCAAACAAAAATTCAAAATGTTGAAGGCAAAGTATACACAACACTCCAAGGGAACCCCTAGAACCTCCACAAAGGAGGACTGCCATCTAAAGCAAATATATATACACACATGCATAAAACTATAAGAATACACACGCAAACATCACATATAGAAACTCCGGAAACTGTAAGAAAGTACATATATATTTATTTTTTCCGAGTGGTGTCGGCGAAGGGGTGTCAGACTGTCACCCTTGGGGCTATGTGACTCAGCTAGTGCCCCTCCCTCCCCCCAAAACCCCCAGTGTTGAGATCCAGCAACACCAAGTTTTTCCAGCATATATTGTACTCCCTCCGTTTCAATTTAGATGAGCTAATTTGACTCGGCACGGAGTTTAAGAAAAAAAGACTTTTAAAACTTGTGATCTTAAAAGCTTAAGGGGTAAAGCTTTGTGGGGCCATGACATTTGTGTGGTTATAAAAGCTTCTCATTAAGGGTAAAATGGATAAAATGAAGAGTTTAAAGTTGTATTATTTCCAATTGTAGAAATGTGTCCTTTCTAGAACGGACTAATAAGGAAAGTGTGTCATCTAAATTGAAACAAAGGGATTATCATTTTAGACAATATACAAATGAAAATTTACAATTACCATACTTATCCAAACGAAAATTTTCAATTACCATATTGCATTCGGATTAATTATCATATAATTATCAATTAGAAATTCAGAACTAGTTTCGTCAATTCTCAGCTCCAATCAGTTTTAAGCCCATCATCATACTGCTCAAAGCATTTCAAGTTCTCAAGTAATGATTATTTTTACATGGTTTTCTTTCACTTTATTTGGCAAGGTTAGAATGATGCAAATATCTTTTCACTAGGGATAAATCAATATAGACCCTATTACTCATTTCTCTTTCTCCATCCTTTTTGGGATAGCACCCCCTTGCTGCTGAACTCAGGGGATGTTGATCTTTCATCACTACACAATCTCTTTTGTTCACCGTTCGAGATGATGCGAATAATGTCAAGTAAATATTTCAATAGTGAAAAAAATAATATCAACATTGATTTAAACTAAACACAAGACCAACCTGTTGTTGTCCATTCACGTGGACATTGTTTTCCTTAAATTGAGCAGCAGAAAGATCATCATTAGAAGCAGGGTTTCCAGCTGCTGTAGTTGAACTAGGGTTATAGTTGGCTGTGGAGGATCCATATGGCCCATATGAGCCAGGCACTCCACTGTGAGTTGAGTTTCCCACATTAGCTCCTGGCCTATATTGTGAAAGTGAGTATCTGCCAGCAGCAGCAGATGGTGGAGGTGGATATACGCCACCAGCCTGAGGTTGCTGGGGAAATGCACCATTGCTTAAGAATTGATGGATGGCTGTTGGTGGAACATAATATGGGGAAAAGTAGTGAGCGTATGGAATATAATTTGGAGGATAATGGGGCAGATGCATCCCTGCAGCTTGTCGAAATACAGGGAGAGGTTGCTGAGTTACAGCTGCTGAACTTTGCATAAGCCCAGCAGCTTGAGTTGCAAGTGCTGTTGGAGCCGCTGTAGATAAAACAAGAGTGTTTCCTCCCTGCAAATCATTCTAAATACATATCAGTAAGTACCTTAGTGTTGAGATTACCTGAAGTTAGTAAGTTCAACATCAAACAGGTGACCCAAGAAATAAACTATTTTTCTGTGCAAATTATTAACAAATAGATGTGCTATACTTCTGTGGAGAGTTATGATGGCACAAAAATCACCAAAACGTAAATAAAGTTTGTTCCGTCATAGATACAGAAGGGACTGCTAGCACCAACCACACGATTTTACTGCAGATTGTCAAAAGCTATCTTGAATAGATTTACTCTATACTTGGTGGCTCACTGCAACATATAAGAAGAACTCATACCATTAGCATGAACCTTCTAGTGAATCAAAAATTTGGTAAAACATCAATTTCAAACAGCAAAAGTAGGCATCTCAATACTTATAGAACTTAGAAAGCATTTGCTTAAACATGACTCAGGCTGCTAAGAATGCAATTCCAAAACATTTCATTAATGTTCACTACACTATGGAAATTGTGTACAGTGTGTGAAAAGGATTGTATAATTCCCTAAAAATATCTATTTCTTATCACATTTTCTTGAACTATACAAGTCATATAAGTTTATGTTAACAGTCAACCAACGAGAGACATTGAACTGACCCCTTCTAGAACTGCAACCATGATAATAATTCCGATTTGCACCAATAAGAGCTTTTCACTGGGTTTTTAGCAGAAAAATGAACTCTCCATCTAGGCTAAGCACATCATTAGTAAAGGAAATTAAACAATGGACAAGTTAAGAAAGCAGAGAGGAGGAACTAATTACTATACAAGGGAATACAATAGACACAGAAAAACCGTTGATGCGAAGAAGGACAAGGGAAGCAGCAAGAGGTGGGTGGTTGTAGTTCTGTGTGCTTCAAGAGTGAATAACCTGAGCACAAGGTATTGGAATTTCCTGTCAGGACCATAGAGATGCTAAAGCAATGATGAGCAGCGTGACTAGGTCACGGAGTTTCTTTTTTTTTTGGGATAAGTAACAGAGTTTCTACAGTTTATCAGTTTACCATTCCATGGTAGACTCTGGTAATCATCACATTTGGCTATCATTGATCCAAGCTGTACAATAATTGCAACAATAGTCCTGTCTAGAGTACCAACTTTAGGAGGAAAAACAATTCAAAAATGGTTGTAATTTGGTACTTGATGAATCCCACCCCAGTGGCGAACTTCGATCATGATAGATTTTAAGACCAAAAGTCCAATTTATTCCAACTCGTCTAGTCCAACTTTAAGGGAAGAGAAGACAAGGAACCCGAGGAGCGGGGATATAAGTAGGAGTGAGGTGACAAGCATATTCCAACACTCAGTCAAAGGCGTAACTGAGTTTCTCCCACATATATTCTGCAAAGGTATTGTTAAATACCAAATGTAGTGAAGCCGCCTATCATACAATTCCAAACAGAAACATTCATCTTTCTGTTTCTGGGATCATTCTTATTTCACTTTACATCCATGCACTATGAAACCCTTAATAAGCTGTCAATTGCGTTATTNGTATATTTTCCTGAATAAGAGTAATATAAAGAATAGAACATACTACCTGATACAGTACTTTCATACCTCTTGAGCAGATTGAGAAGTTTGTGGAGCCACAACTGCAACATTGCCGTTGTACTTGGTAGAAACTCCTGCTGATTGAAAGGGTGAAATGCGGCCATCACCATCAGCACTGGAGCGGTAGAACTGGGCATAGTAGTTTGTTGGGTCAATTGGTTGCTGAACCTAGAGGAAAAAATGAATTGTTTTTAACAATTCTTGAGTATGAGAACTAAATTTTCTTGAATTGATAATATATTGATTCCACGTGGTCTCAAACTTTTCGGGATATGTCAAATCATCCCGAACAACGTTATTTACTGCTGTCAAATATTTCCTACATTCAACATTAATTTAGACCCTACCTTAACTCAATAAAGCATAAGATTCGAGGACCTTGCCACTCACAAGTGAGGTGAAACCAACACATGACACATATTATGAGTCCATGACAAGGTGTTAATCTAACTATGGATATTTTACTTGATGTACTTGCAAGTTTCCATACCAATTTGATCTACATTGAAGCTTCAGAACCAGTAAAATGACAGTACATAGAAAAAGTACATCAAAGAATGAAGGCTTACAACAAAGTTTGGAAGACGAGAAACATCATGAGACTGTGATTCAGAGTTTTCAAAAGGTGCGAGCTGACTGCCTAATGTTGGTGGCAGCATAAAACCAAAACTATAGTTGGGGGATGTACGAACAGCTGAATACTGATGGCCTCCTTGCAGAGTCTCTTGCTTAGATTCACTGTACTCAGGGACAGAGGGTGATACATCTTCTGGCTTTGCAGATAAATTCTCCTGCCCACTTGAAGGCGGAGACTGGTCAGAAAAATCTGCGGTGGTTGGTGGATTTTGATCACTGCATTCACTCATAAGAATGAAAAACGTTGACATCTTAACATGCTAGAAATGGAAGTATATATCTAACTATCAGAGTCAAGTGTGATATAACAACATTCCATCAAGATCTAAAATACACAGCTAATGGCAACAAGATCATATGCTACAGAAAATAATAGAAATAGGAGAGGCACTTAAAAGACGAAAGAAAAAAGAACACTTTGAATAAGATATTTTAGGTCTCAATCTTCAAGAAGATTTTTCTAAAAGATAGAATTAGAGGATTCTGTCCATGAAATTAATTCTCAAACCTTGTGAAAAGAAATATTTGAAATTCGGGTTTGTTTAAGATTTTGAAGAAATATTTGCAAACAAAAAAGGTCCAAAAACTGTTTTTTGAAGTAGCATAACATTCTCTCTCTTTCTTTCTTAAAGCTCTCAGGCACACTCCCCGAGGAGCCTGAGAACAAGGAATTCTGAGAATCCATTAACACCATTAGAACGCCGATCAAATTCCGACCACCCCTCTGAAAATAGCTCCGATAAAACACCCCCACGGGCAGCCAGACTCCGGCGAGGACAAAGCCACGCGCCGGCGCGTGAGCACAATTCCGACCACTTTTTCAAAAAATTTCTTTTAGACAGCACAATCACTGGGGAATTCCGACCACAACCATATAATCCTTTCTGAATTTTGACAACTTTTATTTTTTCCGGTGGTAGGAACCTTCCAGATTTCTGGTTCTGGTTTTTCCTCTTTCATTTTCGAGTTTTCTAGCCCACCGGGATAACTTCCAAACAAACTTTAACTTTCATAAGCTGAGCAGCTGGTTTTAGTACAATATGGGAGACAACAGGATATATTTCAACGCAGGATTCAAATCTTTTGACATCACCAGATGGAACTCTAACAAAGACACATGGTTTGAATGGGTTGAGAGAAGTCGCAACATGATGAGAAGATCATCCATGGGCAGAAAGGCAATGGAATAAATCTGCTTTGCACTTAATGAAGCCTCGACAGATCAAAACAATCTAGTGAAGAGATGGAAGTACAAGGAACAAATGACAGAACATTTCTGTACTAGGAAATATAACGCTCATGGAAGATATATGAGTATTCTGTCACTGAAGGGAGAAGGGAGGTCAGTGATAATACTCCCAGAGTTACCTCTGAACTCTGGCTGGAAAGACATAGCAGCTAAGATAGAAAGATTCACTAATCAGACCACCAGGCTGATTTCCATAGCACCACCCAGAAACACTGTGGAAAATCTCCCTTATGCCCAAGTAGTTAAGGAGAGTAAATGGCAGTCCAATACACTTCGAGAGGCAAGGGTCAACACGAACAATGGCGAAATCTCTATTATGGAACCTACTGGAGGAGAGGATACAAGCCTACTAAAAAGATGCATTATCGGGTCTTTTGGGAAAGAAATCAATGAGAGACCCACTTTAGCAGACATAAGGTGATGGGCTTGTGCTTCATGGAACAAAGCATACGGAGTAAACATATATGAAATGACAGGAAACATGTTTCTTTTTGAATTTCCAAACAGATTCATGGCAGAGCAGATTGTGCAAGGAGAATGGAGATGGAAAAAATTCAAGCTTCATCTGGAATGGTGGAATCATACTGCCGGTTGCATTCCAAACTCACAAATTGAGGAAACATGCTGGATTAGAGCCATGGGGATTCCTTTACATCTATGGTCACAAAAGATCTTCAAAGAAATAGAAGATCTCTGTGGGGGATAGTTAGCTACAGAAGAAGAAACTGATCTCAAAAACCATCTTAAGTGGGCAAGAATCAAAATTGTTGGTGATGGCAGAAAGACTCCCAATGAGGTGGGGATTGAAAGAGAAAGAACCAAATTTTTCATCCCAATCTGGGCTGAAAGAAAGACACGGTATGAGCTTAACACTGGTAAAGGAAAGGCAAGTGGACAATTTGCACAAGGTTCAACTTCGATGAATCAGAGCAGTAAAGTGTCAAAAGTCAAGCTGAAATCCTATGACCCCGATATGGCTACACAAGTCATTTTTAATGACCTCTCGTGTGAGATCTCTGATGATACTGGGCGGAAGCCTTATATCGAGGAAATGGGAGGGCTTTCTTACTCGGGGGCAAAAGAGTCCTCTCCAGGGGGCCAAACCCTCAATGTGAATCTCGAAAGTATGCAAAAGGAAACAATTACCAGTTGCAATCAGTCAGATAGAGGAGCAGATTGGGCAAGATCGGAACAGAAGGAAGGGGAGCAAAGCATAAACTCAGAGATGGGGAATGAACATGTGGGAAGCACTGTGGAACACCTAAAGCAACTTAGCTCTATTCAAGAGTGGGAAATCGAGGAGGTGATTCCTATAGCAGTTCAGCAACACATTCCATCACTGGATAAAGACATGGATGCAACAATATGGGTCCACCAAAATATGATCAAATTGGGGAAAATGTTTGGAGTAGATTTTCAAGGACATGAAGAAGAAGCACTGGAGTTGCTAATGCAAATTGACAGCTGCAGACAGGTAAGAAGGGTGGAGACAGAGTTGGAGGTGAAGAAACAAAGATTCAAAGGATCACTGGAATTAAAAGGTTTAACTTCGTTCGATGTCAAGTTCAAGAGTGATGGAAAANATTGAGGTGCAACTCAAGAATGAAGAATTGGCATGGAGACAAAAATCAAGAGCTTTGTGGCTCAAAGAAGGGGATACGAATACAAAAAAATTTCAACTGCAAATGCANATCGGACTGCAAATGCACGCAAGAGAAACAACAACATTGACCAAATAATGATTCGACATGAAGTAATCGAGGATCCAGAAAGAATAGAGAACGAGATCATAGAATTCTACAAGGAGCTTTACACAGAACCTGAACAGTGGAGACCAACAGTCAATTTCGAAAATAGTTCAAGCATTTCTGAATCAGAAAGGGAGTCTTTACAGAGAAATTTTGAGGAACAAGAAGTGCTGAGCAGTCTGAAGATGTGTGCAAGTGACAAGGCTCCAGGGCCAGATGGATAAACAATGGGTTTTGTCAGAAAGTGCTGGGACATTCTGAAGGAAGATATCATGGCGGCTTTTAACAACTTCCATTCAC